GACTCCCTTGCCCGACTCACTCACTTGACATACCTGACTCGACCCGACCCGACCCGCGCTACTCTCTCGCGCGACCCTTTTATTCCGTTATGCCGGACATGCGCATTATCTTTACTGTGATTTCATCATCTTCATAAAAGTACCTCCTACAATCTCCACTCCTGGAATTTCTGCCCCAAGGGCATTTACCTCCAGTCTGAATTGTTATTAAATCGGCATCCCAATAGGTACTCATGTATCAAGTTTCACCTTTCTACTTCTGCCCAATTCGCAAAAAATTTTTGAGAATGTTACCCCCAAAAAATGTGCCCACAGGCCATGCATCGGAAACTAGAAATGTTTCCTGAACTCAGCGTCTTATTTAGTCTGTTCATACCAGGTATAAGCTTTTCATGTCTCTTCATTTGTCTGAAGCACAAATATTTATTTGAAAACATATCCCCCAAAATGGGTGCCCCCCAGGACATGTACTTCTAAAGTCGGGATTTTTCTGAACTTTTCGGCACTCATTGTCCATGCTAGTGATTCATTAATTCAAATTTTAAGTGACACAAACGTATAAAAAATATGTGCCTGTCGGAATATGTGGCATGAGGAGACGAACCAATGTTGTTATCGAAATAATTTCTCCCATTATTTCTTGTGTGCCTAACTCCAAATCGCTTCATAATCTGCACTGAGGGGACATATCTGAAAAGTCAGATTTGCACTCAACAATGGGACAAGTACTTCTGCTTCACGTTTGAATTTACACCAGTTCTCTGTCTCATTGAATCAAAAAAGATTCGGGAAAATGCGTTTCATGCAAAAAATGCACCCTCAGAGGTTTTACTTAAGATTTAATATTTTTATTGACATTAGTACTAGGAAAATACGTGCCAATCAAATTTCAGCCACATTCGTTTCCTCTTTTCGCTGGTGCAAAAATATATTTGGAAAAGCCGACACAGTTGATGCTCTACCGTAAGGGAATGCAACAAAAAAAACTGAATTTCTCTGAATTCAACATGACCCCAGTTATGTATGAGCCAAGTTTCACCTTTCTATTTCTCCCCATTTCGGTAAGAGAAATCATTTTTTCAAACGTTGGGCAGAAACTAAATGCTATTTCTGTAAGATTTCTACTTGCCTCATTTTATGTTTGAACTTATTGTTAGATGTGGCAGGATGCGCAGCAATTAGGAATGACAGCCATTTAATGCAGCTATTAATGGGATCCATATGAAAGTAATAAACTTATACTCGAGCATGCTACTATTCCATGGGAATTTCAATGTCACGGTTCCGCTACTCTTGCCTTGAGAATAAAACAAACTGTTGAGTACCTTTCTCTGAAGATCCCTCGAAGAATGATATATATTTTCGGCTAAAATGGCACCCTTTTTTTCTTCAAGATGACAAAGAATAGTTCATGTAAACACCTCGGCGGAACCGCGACAACTGCCAGTCAACCACGCTCGCACTTTCCATAGTTGCGTTTCCTTAATATTAGTCTCATTGGCAGATGAAGAATGGCAGATAAAATGCATACAATTTAACTTAGTCGATTTCATATTAATTGTTCATTTCTTACCATTTTCAGAGAGAAGCCATGAGTGAAGTCGCTAGTATCATTTCCCGTCATTCGGAGGAGCTGAAGTTCATTGACTTGAATGGAGTCTTAGCGGACCTGAGAAGAGAGAAGTTGATTCTTCATCAAGAGTACCACGAAATAGTTCAAAAAGGATCTAAAGATAAAGTCCTATTTTTGCAGGATCACCTGCCCTGGAAGGGGTACATCGCATTAATGACGTTCATTGACATCGTTCGTAGAAGGGGCAACGAAGACCTGGCCGACAAATTGCAAGGTAAAAGTTATGCATAGTACTAGCAATGAGATATACTCCGCCCTCATATGGTTCCTAAATGCAATGATACATGTAAAAAAACCACTATATTCTTTCCAGAGGCTGGTTTGATTGCTTCCAATATCACTATGCAACTACCTGATTATGGCTATACGAGGGGCACTCCAAAAGTTCCTGCTAAATGGCATCATATGCCTGATTTAAATCATATTTTGGCATTGTTCTTCAGGGATTCAAAAAGATTTAGTGATTTTTAAAAACTTTTTCTTTGCCAAAATTGTGAAACGTGATGAGGCAAATGACGTAAGCATGAGGCAAAATGAGTTCATATCCAGGACAAATTACCATAATCTGTAGAAATCGGCAAGCGCTGATTTGGCGCGGTTTCTAAAGATGCCTAAGTGTTTTTTGGAGAGATTAAATCATAACTGGTCGAACTTGTTCCATCCATGTACTTTGTGGATGTTTGGTTTAGGGTGCGAACATGTTAGCTTGGAGGACGAGCCCCATGAAGGTCGTCCAATTACAGGAGTGGTGAAACAAATGTGGCTAAAGTGAAAGCTATAAATGAAAAACACGAAAATGCGACATACGCTGTCGTAGAGGACACTCTTGAGACTGCAGAGTGTGTCTTTAAAAACAATTATGTATTAAATTCTTGGGGTGAAGAAGTGTTGTTCTTGTTGGGTTCCCCATTCCCTACCCGCAGATAAAAAAAGCTGGAGCCAATTCCTGCCAAGAAATGCTCACGAATTCGACATAGTATCTTCAAAACGGTTTGGTGGTGGTGAGATCAGCCAGAGGCCATTTCATAATATCACCACAGTTTTATAGGTAACCGCGTCTGGAAACCAGACCAAATCAGCATTCGGAAATCTCTATGGGTGAAGATCACCCATAGAGATTTCCTGGAGTGTGACCCCTTTTTCACAGATTACCCAATCAATTTCCTAATTGATTACAAGAGGAGTTGATTGCAAGAGGTAATAAGACATTTGATCTCTTTCTGAATCAATAAGAGCCAAACATTATTCTTCCATCGATGCGATCAAATGATTCATTCTCGGCATGTCAATTTGTTGCCGTTCATGCAAGAATCGGTCCAAATGAAGATTTTTCTGCCTCCGTTTCTCCACGCATCGCATAATAACGGACCATACGATTTCGGTTGGGTTAACGTCGGGACTACTTAGTGGCTAGTTGAACGCTTCAGGAATGTGAAACTTGATTCGAACGCTTAAGCTAGAGGTATCGGCTTGCTTGTTGGACTTGCTCTCTGGCATAGGAAGCAGTCGTATGTCAGTTTTAGGGTACCTTCATGAAAATTGTTCTATAAAACAATGGATTCAAGATCAATTAAGTGTAAGAGTTTCTCCAGGAACATGTTCATGGTAAGAAAATATCCTACCACTTCGGACTGACAATATCGTAAGACTGAACGCAAGTTCAGTTTAACGTTGCAAATTAACAGGTTAACGCGAAAGTTGAACTATACGTTCGACCCTGGTTTATGCATGTAGAGAGTGACTTGGAACGAATCAGCTTCTTAGCAAAGGACTTCACAACTTCCGTTAGAATGAAAAAGAAGACCGATCTCAGGCTTTAATGGCAATAATTACCATCATTTACGGATGTCCCTAGCTTATTGTTTATGCGAAATGGAGACTTCGAAAACAGTAGTGCAAAAATATAGAAGAGATATAGTGTTGCTGTAGCTATTGCGACATACGCAAGTCTACATTGGTCATTCCATGAAATGTCGCCGAAAAAGTTGTAAATTAACTCCGATTTTTATTCAATTTGGAATAGAGAGTTCCCCTGTCCCGAAACTAATGTCCCATTTCAGACTCATCAGGATAGTAGGTCAAATACTACAAGGTGGTCAATATTTAGTGTCACAAACTAACTTCCAATTTTGAGAAACCAGTAACTCAGGAATTATTTATAGTAGAACCCTGATTATACCTGAAAACGCAACGAATGGTCATAGAACATGTTAATAGATCCAGGAAACATTAATCACAAGGGCTGGTGCGACTGACTGTATAGGTTACGGGGTGAGAGGGAGGAATTTCACGTTCGAGTCTTGGAGCGCATCCGTTAGACTCAGAACAGAGTCCTTTGAGTCACGTCACAACCCCTATGATCACGGCGTGTCGCATTTCGGGAAACCTATACACCATTTTTTTGTCTCTTACGATGTATTCCTACCATGACTTGACCCTTAAAAACAGGTAGTTTCAGAGAGGGCGAAACAACGTGATCGTTAGCCATTATGTGCCCTGAGAAAAACTATATGTGATAATCGGACGGAAAAGTAGTGCGAGCTTCTTTGGTTTCCCCTACATAGTGTTTCAAAATATGTTTCGCTACTATATTTGTGTGCTTTGGATCGTTGTCTTGCTGGAATCGCCAGAATCGTCCAAACTGTTTTCCTGCACCAGATGACCTTGAAGAATTTGATCATTTAGGGGCCGTCCATGATACTTCTGAATGACTGGCACGATACATGGCCTTTAATACCGAAGATTATACACACCATGATCTTCTGCTTGTTTTTGGGAATTCTCTTCAACTGCTTTTGATCATTCTTGGACGAACACTGTATCATATTTCTGAACAATGAATAACAGATTTCATCATACAACACCGTCAGCTTCAATCGTCGTTTTTGTGTTACTGTGACCATTGTACTCACCTCTCCTTTAGCTAATGGGTCGGCATTGGCGTCGCTTACAGCGCAGGTAAAAAAAACTTCGGGATATATAATTCCGTAAATTTCCTGTGTTTGATGGCAATTTTTTTGCATTCCACTGCATATTATTTGAGTGCGGAGGGTTCTCGAAGTCATTTTATGCTCTGGTGTCGTTGAAGCACTTATGGAACCATTTTTGGCTGAGTACGAAGTGCAAATGTGGCTATTCTTGTAGTGAAATTGGAATTTTACAGCCACAGGCTGTGCAAAAACGTTAAAATTACCCCAAACCTTTCCCACAAAACGGCTTTATTCATTCCATCCAAGAAGAAGTCGAGTTCCTTCCACTCAAAGAGACATGAAATAAGTTTAACCCTTTCGCTGTTTTCCCGGGTACATACTCGGGTTGCGCGCGCTGCCTGAGTAACGGTAGCCGGAATGGAGGGCTAGCACTGCACAAGGTGGAGGGCATTTTCTTGCAGGACAGTGAAAGGGTTTTAAAAGTGTATTCCACTAATGATTCACTCCTTAATACGAGCACTTGTAATGTCAGAGAAGAAAATATCTCCCTTCTTAACGTCATCAGGATTCGATTGAACTCGAATGACATGATGCAAGTTACTCATAAAGCCTTTCGCAGATGGCTCCAGATCAGTTTTGATTTTCCCCTCTCTCATTTCCTCTGACAGGCGAGAAGCTACACGGAGAGCAAATATTGGAATTGATGGCAGAGCAGCAGCAAAGTCTAAGTGAGTCGATTGTGCAATTGAAGAAGATTAAAGAAAGCCTGCAAAACTGCAAGGAAGCCCGAAGTGACATACAACGACGTGTGAGTATAATCCCTATGTCTGAAGAATTTAAAGTAATATCAGCTATATTATTTGTTCAACAAGAAATTAATTCATTTTCAACCCTATCATCACTCAACATCAGATAATTACAATCTAATATGCATTTCATTTTCCACTTTTGTTCCAACTAATTATCAATTTCACTGTGCAGTCCTTGAATGTCGGATTTCTGAATTTTGTTCATACATATTTTTCTATTACCTAAAAGAAAATATATATACAGTGTATATATATATCTAATACTAGCGAATTTGTTTGCTCTTCGGGCAAACAAACTCGCTGTCGTCGCTCCTTCGGCGCTGCAATACCTTGGATAGCGATTAATTCATTTATTCTTTGCGAAATAGCAAACACGTACTTAAAGTACATCCCATTGGAATACGTGACATATGGGGACGAAAGTCTTGATTTTTATCA